GAAGTCATTATCCTCGTGGCTGTGAGTGGTTCAGAAAGAACTGACATAAAAATTATGTTGGAGGAGGAGCAGGGCAGAAATGTACCAAGAGGTGGTTGATCTTAGGGAAGTCTTTGGTTGTGACAGGAAAGGCAGAATGGTCGGGAGGAGAGAGTCAACCCTAAAGCTGAACGCTGTGGTTCTCCTTGTTCCTCCAGGAGAGGAGGTGCAGAAACCAAGTACCAGTGAGAAAGGTCAACTTCTAGAAAGAGAAACAACAGGGGTCTCACCATCCAGAGCCCAGGAGTGTCCTGGAAAATGTGAGAAGTGGGGGCCAGGAACTTCCTCTCACTCCAGAACAGTCCCAAACCAACTGCAGCCTCACTGACAGTTACTTGCTCTAAGCCCCGCCCCTACTATCCATCTACTGGCTGCAGTTTTATAACTCCTGACTTGATTGGCTGATGAAAACAGCATCCTTTTTGTTGTCGTTTATTAAAGGCATTTAAAACTATAAAGCTGTGTTTAGTAAAGGGGAAAAAAGAAAACATGAAACGAAACCGCTAGAAACTGTATTATTTATGTATATTTAACTTGCTGCATAGTGAGTTTCTGGCCTTGAATCCCTGGACAAGTGTTTTCTCTGCATTCAAGAAGGAGGAAGTCTCCTGGACATGGTGTGGTTGTAGATATCATGAGTGCAGGAATTCTGGTTTCTGGGTTTGAAGCATGGGGTTGGGCATGTGAAAGAATGCAGTCAAGACAGACTGGGAAAGCAGCTTCTCATTCTTTCTGGGACAAATGTGAAGATGGTTTCAGAAATAGCGGCACATTGTACGCTTTTTTCCCCAAAATATATATAAAGAATAATTTCACTGAAACTATTTAGCGGCACTATTGTGGGATCAAGTTTTGTATTCTTGTATCTTGTATGTACATCATTAGTCAGTGATCTCTAGAGGAACAGTATCTGTACGATGAATATGCATATTCTAATTTGTGCCTAGTTGAGATTCAAACCAACCATCACACTATTCTAAGAAAATATTTGGGGGAGAAAATTTGTAATGCTTTCAAAATCTAGGCCATATTTTGGCTTGTGGGATACCACTTTATATTCTGACTCACACAAAGACTTTGTGAGGATGTTTAGGTGCCTATGAGAGGGAATGGACAGAGAAGGGAAGAGAGGGGAACTGCCAGAGTAAATGCAGAGGAGTGACCTTTACCTATATAGCGCCCTTGGCTGTAGTGAGAAGCATTCCCAGCCTTCTACAGTCTGATAGCCCCAAACAACAGGGATCGTGGAAGGGAATTATCTCCACGATGTAAATCCATTTTAGCAAGTGGTCAAAGAAACCGTGGAAGGATTTTAAAGCTGATAGACTAATACAAAGTTATAATGAAGTGATAGTTAAGATCATTTCTGACCAAACATTTAGATGGAAATTGTAAGGAGTAAATGTATACTTTATATTAGATATAGAATTAGATTATTAAATAAGATAACTTCTGTATATTTATGCTTTAGAAAGGTTTTTGATATTGACAGGTATTTATTGTGTGGGTCTCATAAAGGCAACTTCTTCTGAGTGGGCCACGTAGTTTGACCATACTCACCTCTCATAATCTGCTCTTTCTCATCTCCTCTTCACCTTTGGCTTTTTGCTACTCTCCTTTTCACAGACTCCTTCTGCTTTTTAGTCATATATAGAGATACATATATACAGCTTACCTGCTTATACTAAATCTAAGATTCACAAACAGGAGGAAACTTGACATTTGCCTTTCAGAGGCTGGCTTATTTTGCTTATTGTTGGTGGCCAGCTGCATCCATCTTTCAGCAAAGTCTCCTTCCTTCCTCCCTCCCTCCCTCTCTCCCTCCTTCCTTCCTTTCTTCCTTCTTTCTTTTTTCAGAACAGTAGCCCTGGCTGTCCTGGAACTCACTCTGTAGACCAGGTTGGCCTCGAACTCAGAGAGAGATGTACATTATCACCACCTGGCTTCTTTCTAGATTTCTTAAAGATAATATGAATATGATTGTTTTCCCAATTTCTCTTTCATTATTTTCTTCTTAGCATATAAAAATCTCCTGAATTTTTGTGTTCAGTAGCATTAACTTAGGAATATGTCTGGTGATTTCCTCTGTTGGAGTTTTTATTATTGAGTTAATATACATACTTGTTATTTGTATATTAAGATTTTCCACCTCTTTTGAAAGTTTTGGTAAGTTTTATGGATTGCAGACTTGGAGCAGTTTTCTATGTAATGTCCATGGCACTCTCTCATAAGTCCTTTGCATTCCAGTGTGCCACTTTCAATGTCTCCTCATTAATTCTTGATTTTAAGATTTTTCTTTGATCTTAGTCTAGCTGAGTATTTCTAAACTTTGTCATCTCAAAAACAAAACAACAAAACCCTTAGTTTTATTGATGATTTTAATTGATTTTATAGTCTGTCTGATTAATATATTCTATAATGATTTTTCTTCCCTCTCTTAACTTTGTGTTTAATCTGTTCTTTTTCTGTTTAAGTTATAAGTAGGTTATTCATGTAAGATCTTTTGACGTTCTTACTGTGGGCAGAGACAGAAATATGCATACTTCTTTTAGCTGTTTATGTTATATTGTGTAAGCTGGGCATAACATTTTTTCTTTCCAAATAATTTTTATTCGTTTCTTTTATTAAGTCTTTGACTCATTTGTTGATTCTTCAAGAGGGTGTTTTTAAATTTCTATAAGTTTGTGAATGTCAATATTGTCTCTTTATTTTTTCATGACATTGCTTTTCAAAAACATATTTTATAAGTTTTTGCCAGTATCTTGAATTTATTAGGACTAGTTTTGTGGATCTATATCATTTTATTTTGAATGACATTTTATGTACATTGGAAAATAAATTTCCTTTGCCAGTATTTGTAGAAATGTTCTATGCATGTCTACTAGCTTCATTTAGTCTATAACAGTGTACATTTTTACTGTTTTATTATTTATTTTCTGTCTGAATGATATAGCTACTGTTGCAAGTGGGGTACCAAAGCCCCATAATATTATTGCACTGACATCTCTTTCTCTATTCATGTGTGTTAATAGTTAAGTAAGCTATTACATTGTCATAGACTCTTGAGAAATTGAGCCCTTTGTCAGAATATTATGACCCTCTTTGTCCCTTATGCTCTTGTAAGTTTTTTTTTAGCTAAAGTGTATTACATCACCTTCAAGTTTAGCCTGTTAGCCCGGTTACCATTTGCATGACCCGCCCCAAATCACTACAATTTTAATCTATTTGTGTTCTTAAAGCTGATACAAGTCTCATGTAGGTTTTATAGTTAACCCACTCCTAATATTACTACACTTGTCTTTAATTCTTTTTTTTTTTTTTTTTTTTTTTTTTTTTACAGTTTCTTACTGTGTATCATGGTCATATTCCTCTCTCCCATTATTTCCTCTTATTTCTCCACTTATTCCCTTTGGTCCCTTTCTGCTGGCCCTGTTCCAATTTTTGCATTTGTCTTTAGCTCTTGAGACATGGTTTCATTTAGAACATTTTGTTGCAATTTGAGTAATTCTTTAAAATTTTGAATCTTCTATCATATCGTTGTTCACAAAAAGAAATCTAAGACTATGTTTTCATTTCAATAGAATTTCCTTCCCATTAGCACAGCACTAATAGAATTAATTAACACAAAGTTACTGGGCATCCAATGCATCCTTATTCACTCTCAGTGCTCTCTGCCTCCAAAACCAGAGTTCATAATTCACATGACCACTTCATTTCTCCCTTTGGAAATTGAGTTTGCTCTGCATTAAACAAGAAAATGACTCCTAGGTGGGCAGTGAAAATAGAGGTGGGAATTTAGATGTGGTAAAGATCTATCTTAGTGATGAGAAGAAAGAAAGGTCTCCAACATTTCAAACACTGAACAACAAATATTTATGTTTGTGGCTGAGGCATACCTGACACATGGACTTAGTGGCCTTTATTTTTATTGAGACAAAATTTAAGGGAGGAGTTAAAAGAAGGGAGATAATTTTTCAAAAGGGCTTATAAATGACAATGAAAAAGAAGGCTTATTGCCCAGAATACATCAGTTATGAAGTATGGAGGAGAGTAGTGTGAATACATGTTTATGAAATGCAGGCTGACTACAGAGACCAATGCAGAATGGCCTCGGCCAATTGCATTCTTCAGAGAATAGCATCATTTCCTCTTCCACTGTCTGAATTCTGTAACCACAAGAGTTTATCTGGGTGTCTTAGTTAGGGTTTCTATTGCTGTGAAAAGACACCATGACCACAGCAACTCTTATAAAGGAAAACAGTTAATTGGGATTGGCTTAAAGATTCAGAGCTTTAGTCCATTATTTTCATGGTGGGAAGTATGGCAGCATGCAGGCAGACATGGTGCTAGAGAAGGAGCTGAGAGTTCTACATCTGGAGCTGTAGGAAGCAGGGAGAGAGAGAGAGAGAGAGAGAGAGAGAGAGAGAGAGAGAGAGACTGGGTCTGGCTTGAGCCAGTGACATACTTCCTCCAACAAAGCCACACTGACTCCAACAAGACCTCATCTCCTAAGCCCTATCAAGTAGTGCCACTTTCTAATGACCAAACATTCAAACCCATAAGCCTATAGGGGCTATACTTATTCAAACCACCACACCAGGTAAAATTTTATCTGTATATTTCTGTATCTATAGGTACAACTGTATTTGTATCTATATATCTATATGTCTATATATCTATATCGATCTAGTTATAGCTAGCTATTAAACTCAGGCAGGTGTTGGGAAGAAGCCAAGAGATTAAAGGTGTGCATTGCTACACATTTTGAGGACCAATAAAAGAGAAAAAAAGGAGGAAGTGCCTTAACGAATAATCTTTTGTGGGAGGGGGTAGGAAACAGTGAAAAAATTTACAGTCTCCTTTGGAAGTTCAGATGGAAAACAAGATGTTTTGGCTGTTAATGAAGATTTTCATCAACATACTCAATGGACTTTTCACTCCATTGCATTCTCCGCCTCTTAATGCTTCTTGTCTGCACACAAGAATCAGGTAACTCTTTATTTTCTTTTACAAATGTTTAGCTGGAAGTTAAGGGCAAATAAACACCAGGTTACAGGTCATTTTCTTTTGATGTATGCTGGGTTCTGTGTATTAATAATCATACACCTATATAACCACACAGCTGACAAATCACTTAATGTTGGCATAATCAAAACAATGACTATAGAAAGTGGGAAGGAAAGGTCAGAATGAAGGCAAGCATACAGGTTCTGAGGTATGCACAACTTGCTCAAATGAGATAGGTTCCTATATGTTTGTTTTATGTAAATATAAAGGAGGTAGACCAACTAGATGCAAAGGATCTCCTCACAAAATCTGTTTTTGTTTTGTTTTGTTGTTTTTTGCTTTCTTTAAATTATTCTCATGTTCACAAACAGCATATATAAATTTTAGTTTTGAGGTTGAGTTGTTTTAAAGCTTTTCTTGATAATTAATAGTTTTTATTAAGTAGGCAAGCCTATACATAATTTGCTTTATGGATTTGACTATCATTGCAAGCTGATCTATTTTTAAAATCCAACGAATATTCTTATTACTTTCTGATCATTATGAATGATTGAATTAGCAGCATTTGATCCATCCATTTTTTTTTTTACATTAAGGTAATAACTAGTTTTCTTTAAGAATTTGGGTGAAGGGTCTAGAGACCTGGCTTGGTAGTTAAGAGTGTACAGTACTGTATTGGAGGGCCCAGGTTCTGTTCCAATAACCTATACAAGGAAGCTCACAAATACCTGTAAATCCAGCTCCAGGGGATCCCAAGATTTCCTCTATCTTCTGTGAGTACATGTACTCAAAGGCACATATACCATGCCACAAGCATACTTAAAAAACTAGAATAAATCTTTAAAGAAATAATTGGGAAGAGGAAGTAAAAAATATGATAAATTCAAAAGAGGGTTAGGTTTAATGATTTAGCTTCTGCTTAGCAAGAGTGGAGTCCTGGGTTTAATTCCTAGCCAAGTAAGAATAATGAGTAACTAAACAAAATGCATAAGGAGGAATTTTTCTCTGAGGAAGTAGCTCATACTGCAAAGGAGAAGATAATCTGGGAGCAAATGATGAGGAGGAGCAAAGCAGTACAGATGCTGTTGTGGAGTTATTCACTGACAACTTGGTTGTTACTTTTTTAGTCTTGCTAGTTTGGGTTTTCATGAGTATTATTCAGTCCTTCCCTGAAGGCAGGGACCAAACTACCCGTGAAAACTAAAATGTTGGTGACTTTTAACTGTCAGATGACCTGGTGTTCTCATTTTATTCAACACTGTGAGTCAGGTAATGGTAAGCCTGTTATGGAGATGAAAGTCCTGAGGTGCAGGAGTCTAAAATATTGCTAGAAGATCACAGTCCTGCCAATCATTCTCAGGAAAGCATGAGAACAGAACTGACTGGTGAACACAGTGTTTTTCTGAACAATAAACTTGCCTCATGCGTTTGAGAGGTTTGTGATGCTGTGGGCACAGTTTAGATCCACCGATTTATTCTGAAAAATATTTGAAAAAAAAGTTGCTTGTAATTTGATATTGGAAATGAAATGAATGAGTGAAAAATGAATGACATTCTATGAGTACAGTGGACCAAGCTGTGTGGTTGTGTTTTTAAGCTTCATATTTAAATAAAGCACACACTCGGGAAAATGGATGGTAATTCACTGCAGTGTTCAGACTTCTTAACTTTTATTCTCCATACTACTCTCTGTGTCCTCACATTATAGGTTTATTTGATCTGTTGCTGGCTTTAAAACAAGCATACATGTTCACTCAGCGTCTGTTCAATTGTTTCTGGTTTCTTTATATATTGGTAGAATTTATTAACATTTTTAGAGGATATGTTGCTTATTAAATTTCATTTGTGAATGAATTTCTTTGTGTAGTACTATAATTGATTTATACAACTTTAAAAAAGATTTACTTATTTACTTTATGTATATGAGTGCTTTATCCACCTTTTGCCAGAAGAAGGCATCAGATCCCATTATAGATTGTTGTGAGACACCTTGTCATTATCAGGAATTGAACTTAGGACCTCTGGAAGAGTAGTCAGTGTTCTTAACTGCTGAGTCATCTCCCTAGCTAAACAGTTTTTTTTTTTTTTCTAATTTTTGAGAGAAGGTTTCTCTGTGTAACCCTGGTTGTTCTGGAAGTCACTCTGTAGACCAGATCTTGAACTCAGAGATCCACCTGCCTCTGTCTCCCAAGTGCTGGGATTAAAGGCATGTGCCACTACACCAGGCCCAACTTTTGCTTTTTAATGTACTATTTTTGATAATTGTTTGAGAATTTCACATAATGTATTTTGATCATATTTATCCATAGGAGAAAATGAGGCCCATGTGCTCACAGAGAAGTACTAGAAAAACCAGAATTGTTAAACATGTATAATTTCTTCTTCTAGGGAAGAAATCCACACCTATTCATCCAGAAGCTAGAGTGGATGTTTTCTAATAACCTGGTGATAGTTAGCTATTCTATGGATTCAGGCTTCACCTGAATTCCCCAAATCCTGAGCATTTTATATTAGTCAATAGAACCTATCCTCATGAAAGTCATTCCCATGCAAAAGAGTTTTCTATTACGCTTATCAAAAGCCCTTCCTCCCTAGGCTTAGACTCCTGAGCACTGTTTCTCAGTCAAAAGCACCCAATCCTGTGAAAAATGTCACAAGTGCTTTGCTAAAGAGATGTATTTTGCTAAGGAGTTTTGATGTAGCCATACCTAAAGCTTTGTTGTGTTAATTGTCATGTGGTAATTTCCCCCCAAAGCTCAACTATGTTTAAATAAAAAAAAATAGTAAACCACTTTGCACCAGACTCCAGAAGTTTGGGCCCAGTTCTGGCTAATTAAAGACAAGCTGAACCCAGTTCTCATTCTTACATCACCCAAATCAGCCATTACCCTTGCAGAGACCCCCCACATTTACCTCCCACTCTTCCTCTGACTCCTCTCAGATCCACCCTCACCTCCCCACTGCAACTTCATGTCCTTTTAAAAAAATAACCCACTGAGTCTATTTTCTTCTCCCTTTACATACCCATGAGCAGAGGTCCATGCCCTGCTGTGTGGCATGAAATATATTCCTCCTTTGCCATTCGGTTTTGATCATGACAAACAATTCCAGTGAACATCTTTGTTCACGTTTTTGGAGAATACATGCATTATCTTCTATTAGGTGTATGGTAGGGGTAGACTTGCTACTTGTAGGGTTTGCTTATGCTCAAGGATAAGATAGCTCCAAGTTTTCCACTTAGTACCCAACAGAATTTACACTCCTTTCAGCACTGTTGGTGAAGTGCATTGTTTCTGTGAATTCTCAATCAAACTTGACATTGTTTGTCTTTCATTTTAGACAAGTGGTGTATATGTCATCCTCAGTTTACCCTGTATTTCCTTGATGACCAGGTTGAGCACCTTAAGTCCATGAACTATCCAGCCAGATGTAGAATAATTCATGACTTAAGATACATATGTGCACATATATATTATGATACAAGCTCAGCACATATATATAAGCAAAGTCATATATATATATATATATATATATATATAACTCTGCTTAACACATACATACACATTCATATATGTGTTAAGCAATGTTGAATACATAATATATAATATAATATACATGTTGGGTATTTTATGATTCTTAATTTTTACCCATAATAAGTATTTACCAGGTAATATGTGCCGGAAGCCCTTTTAGAAACCAGATACTCAATATTAAAGAACAGACTGTAGTTCATTCTCTCTCTCTCTCTCTCTCTCTCTCTCTCTCTCTCTCTCTCTCTCTCTCTCTCTCAGTTCTGAGGATCAAATGTAGGACCTTGCATGTGCCTGGGAATCATTCTACTACAGATAATGGACATAGGTTACAGTTCCAGACTTTTTATTTTTATTGAGACACAGTCTCACTATGTATCATAGGTTGCTTTTGAATGCATGATCCCTTTTCCTCAGCCTGGAGTGCATCATTTTTTATTGTGTAGAAGAGGCAAATAAAATGGTAATCTTAAGGCAAAGAGAAGTGCTATTAGGAACACCGCGGTAGTATGAATATGTATTTTCCTAAACACTGGACCTCATTTTCAGAGTCTTCGCAGAAAATAAAGCATAAGAACTATGAGACTGCTGTCCTAGGAAGAAATGTAACCATCTTCTGCAACTTGACAAGTCTGGCAAATGTTCTACAAGTTACCTGGCAAAAAATCCAAGGTTCTTTGCTTCAAAATATCGGCACTTACAGCCAGAAATATGGAGAAAATATTCTCCCCCCATATGTAAACAGGCTGCACTGCCAGATCCTGGAACCCAATGCCTCCTTCATAACTATCCAAGGAGTGACATTTGAAGATGAAGCCTGCTACAAGTGTCTGTTCAACACCTTTCCATATGGCAGCCATGGAGAACAAACCTGCCTGAACATTCTAAGTATATAACCCTTTCTCTAGGGCCCTGCAATGGGGGTAGATAGTGTTGAGTTATAGTGTTTGAGGACATTGTCCAGAGAAAGAAAGTTAGATGTTGAAAAACTGATGTTGATGAGTCCAGGTTACTTAGAGGAGAAAATGATGGAGACCAATGGAGATTGTGTGCTGAGGCAGAATCTTCTCCCACCTCATATCACTTCTTTACATTACACTGCACTGATTTCCATTAAGTGGAGAAAACCCAGAAAGAGTATCAGAATTTTGTTACTAAGGCAAGAAGAAGATATTAGAAAAGAGATATCAGGGAAGAGCAAGGAATTAGGGTTCCCCTGTCTTCGAATAACCAATATGTCCCAGTAGTAGTGAGAATACCAGAGTTCCTTATTGTGCTGCTGTAAGTGTGAAGTGCTGGGGGTGTGTAATATAATTTATAGATGCATGGAAGTTGAGACAGCAGTCAGTGGGCAGAAAAAAAAGTATTGGAAGTTTTATGGCATGTGAGGGGAGGTATCCAAGAGGGATATGTTTTCAGGATTTGTGTGTCATATAAAAATTGGGCGGGTGGAAGCCATTAACAGCAGAGCATTTGGTATGACATACCATTGTATGAAGTTTGTTTCCCCTTCTTTGCTTCAGTTGTACCTGAATTAATAATAACTGAACTCAGTCCTGTTAATGGCTCTGAAGACCTCCTCAACCTCCATTGTTCAGCTGTGGGAAAGCCTGCTCCTGGCATCTCCATTTACCCTTCACAAGCCCTAGTGCTCACACAAGAAGAATACTTTACTACAAACCCAAATACCACAGTGACCGTCACTAAAATACACAACATCTCTTTGAAAACTGTGAGGTCCTTGGGCCTCCAGCAACTGGTTGTGTCCATGACTCACCCTCTAAGAAGCGAAGACAAGATAGTTCCTCTGCCAGTAAAGCAGGAAGGTAAGTGGAAGTGACGGAAAATCAAAGGGACAGCTGGAACGGGGAAAACAGCTTAGTCTGCAAAATGCTTGCCATGAGACCATGGAAACCGGAGTTTTAACCCAGCACCACCATAAAAAGCCAGGCATGGCTGTGTGTCCTTGTGATCTCAGTGATGGAAAGACAAGGAAGGCAAATCCCTGGGGCTCACTGGCCAGCCAGCCTAGAGCAACCAGTGATTCTTCTGTGATTCAGTGATTCTGAGAAAAATGAAATAAAGCTAACAAAAATCAAGTTACACGGCTCCTCTGGTTGATCCCTGGCTTCCAGTACACACATTTACACACACACACACACACACACACACACACATACACACACATTCCAATGCACATATAGGAGCTCAGACATGTACACACGTAAGCATGCACTTACAAAGTGCATAGGCATGCATGCACACACATATTCACATAAGAAAGAATGAGAGAGGAGATATCTTTATCTTTTAAAAAAATACATAATGAAAAGTATTCATATTAATCAACTATTTTTGGAGAAGTAAACCAATATAATGTACACATATGATTAAGAAATAAATCAATGAAGCCAGGCATAGTAACACACACCTTTAATCTCATCACTTGGGAGATAGAAGCATGAGAATCTCTGTGAGTTCAGGACTAGCTTGGTCTACAGAAGTACCAGGACAGCCAGAACTATATAGTGGGACCCTGACTCAGAAAAAAAATCAAACAATGCTGACAGTCATCACGACCCCCACTCCCCACCTCTGCAGCAGGGTTCCTTACAGAAACTCTTTCCTTACTATTTTTTTTTATCATTCATAGTTTTTTTTTTTTTTGGTTTTCCTTTATTTGAAGTTTGTCCATAGCCATTTTTATTTTTTGTCACATACTATCTTTATTTTTTTTTTAACTTTTCCATAGCACTTAAACTCATGTTAGGTTGTTTTTGTTCTTTTCATCAATTTGGGGATGGCCGCTGGCTTTTCCTTGTTTTAAAAATTTATTTTATTTTAAATTAAAAACTTATTTATTATTCTCATAGTACATCCCATCCAGAGTTTCCATTCCCTCCTCTCCTCCAAGTCCCTCTTTCCCAGATCCCCTCTTTCCCAGATCCACTCCTCCTGTTTCCCTTCAGAAAAGAGCAGGACTCCCAGGGATGTCAACCAAACATGTCATAATAAGTTACAATAGGATTAGGCACAAACTGTCATATCAAGGCTGGATGAGGCAACCCATTAGGAGGAAAGGTTCCCCCAAACAGGCAAAAGAGAGACAGCCTCTGCTCCCACTGTTAGGAGTCCGACAAGAACACCAAGCGACACAACCATAACATATCTGCAGCAGACCTGGGTCAGAGCCATATAGGCTCCCTGATCGTTACTTCAGTCTCTGTGAGCCTCTATGAGGCATGGGTAGTTGTGTTCTTCTGCCTCCTCTGCCTCCTACAATCCTTCCTATCCCCTCTTCCCTTCTGAGAGATTCCCAGAACTCAGCCTAATGTTTGGCTGTGGGTCTCTGCATCTGATCCTATCAGTTGCTGAATGAACCCTCTCTGATGACTATAGGCTCCAGTTTTCAAGTATAGGAGAACATCATTAGGAATCATTTCATTGGCTAAATCTGCATATAATGTGCTAGATAGCATTGTGACATTTTCAAACAAAGTGAATTTTTGTGGTTTCCCTTCCTCTCATTTTCCCCATGCTCTTGCTACCCTCCTGCCTTAGAGCCCACCACTCCTGGTTGATTTTCCTCTTCCATGACTCCTGTGTCCTGTGTCCACACCCCTGCTCCTAGCTCATCACCTAATACTATTACTCTTTCTCAGTCTCCTTTCCAGATTGTATTAGACTTCACACACACACACACACACACACACACACACACACACACACACACACGGCTACAATCTACATAGGAGGCAAAACCCATGAGTTCTGCCGTTCCGAGTTTGATTTCTTCTTGCTTAAGCATGCATTGCAGACCTATTTTCTACAAATCTTATTTTATTTTTATTTACAACTGAATAATATTACATTATGTGCATATACCATGTTTTTATTAGTCATTCATCTATTGATGGACATGTAGGCTGTGAATATTGATTGCAGCAGTAAGCATGGATGTCCAAGTGCCTCTATGGTAGAATCTGGAGTCCTTGGGGTATATACCCAGGAGCATACAGCTGAATCATTAGTTATTCTCTTTTTAATTTCTAGTGGAGCCTACAAACCAATTTCTACATTATCTGCATTAATTTGCAGCTCTGCTAGCAGTAAGTGATCATTCTTCTTTCCCCACATCCTCTTGAACATCTGTCGTTAGATTCCTTATCCCACCCCCTCCCCCTCACATTTTGAGACAGGGTCTCACTTTATCATTCCAGAACTCATGATGTAGACAAACCTGGCCTTGAACTTACACAACTTACACAGAGAGGTCTGCCTGCCTCTGCCTCGGAAGTGCTGGGATTAAAGGTACACCCTGCACTGTTAAGCCTGGCTAGTCACATTTCTTCTTTGATAGTCCTCTGACCGGGAGGAAATCCTGTCTCAAAGTCATTTTAATTTGCATTTTCCTAATGACTTGGGGTGGGGGGCATTGGGGACTTCTAAAACTGCTTACTGAAGACTTGGAAAGGTGGCTCAGTGATTCAGATCACTGGTTGCTCTTCCAGAGGATAGGTTTGGATTCCCAGCACCCACAGGAAGCTAAGAACTCCTTGTAATTCCAATGCTAGGAAATTTAATGCTGTCCTCTGGCATCTGTTGGCACTACACACAGATAGTGTACAAACAAATATTCAGACAAAGCACTCAAACATATAAAATGATCATAAATCAAATGTTAAGGAAAACTAATACATGTGTATGTACATACATATGTTTGTATATATACATATACATATATATGTCTATAAATATATCTGTACAAATGCACACATACACACACGCACACATTGGCCATTTTCATTTTTTCTTTTGAAAACTGTTCATTTTTTTAGCCCATTTGTTGACTGGCAGCTTGGGTGTTTTCTTTTCAGTTATTTGTAAATTCAGGGTTTTAGCTCGTGTCTGAACTGAAATGTAGCTGTGGGCTGTTTCTTTTGGTAGATTCTGTTACTGTGGAGAAACCTTTCATTTTCACTCAGTCCCACCTGTTCTAGCTCCTGTGCTGTCGGAGTGCTGTTCAGAAAGTCGTTGTCTGCAATAGCATCTCTGCTTTGCTGCTGTGCATTTGGAGCACACTCTCCACCCTGGTGGCTTGTCAGATTTTTCTCCTCATTTTTCTTTCATCTCTCAATCATAAGCAGTACAAATTTAGTTGACTTAAAGTTCTAGTAAAAGGAAATTCAAGACTGTAGAACAGACCTGGCCACTGATTGGAAGGCATTGCTTTCTAGTGTGCACCATGAGAACAAAAGGGAGCTGAAAATCCCCTGGGCCACTAATGCTGTCACAATGACTCATTCCCATTATAACAGCCTTAATCCACTTTCAAAGGACTGCCACCACAGCCTAAGCATGTCTTGAAGGTTGCACCTTTAGTAATGGTGCATTGGCAATTATCTTTCCTCTTTGCAAAGTTACTTTTTAAACTACCATACAAAGAATGGAATTCATTGTGGCATTTTCACACACACACACACACACACACACACACACACACACACACACACACACACACATGTCATTAAACTTTGTTCTAATTTGTCTCCTTCCTTCACTGCCCTGTCCCCTGATATCTTTGTGTTTTCTTTTCACCCATTCTATTACTATGTGCCCCAACATGTGTCATTTGTTTGAATCCCTCTTAGTGTCTTGGGGCTTTCCAAACTTCTTTTTAGCGGGAGGAGAGAGAGGACTGAATCCAGGGGCCTTGTGAATATGAGACTATTCATGCTAGACAAGTACATAGCTTTTTTTCCCTCTTTTCTTTTTTCTTCCCCCTACCCCATCTCTCTTTTAGGGTTTCTTTCTTATCCTTGTTAGGATCTTATTAACTTGCACAGGTTGTCCTTGAACTCACTCTGCTCACTCCCCAGCCCAGGCTGGATTTCAATTTTCAGTCTTCTTGCTTCAGCCTGCCCATGAGCTGTAATGACAGGCCTGTGCAACTAGTCCAGTGCAGGGCGTTTACAACCCCACAGTTCACCAGAGTTTTCTTGAATGAGAGTAGCAGGAAATATTAGAAGGATTTGGAGTGTGGAGATAAACAGATAGAAAATAAAGGATAGCCTCGAGAGGGCCTGGAACCTATTCCAATGAGCCCTGACTGTCTCTGCCCTAGGATAGTTATACAAATGCCAAGGGGTGGAGCAAAAGACCTTTCCCCAGCACAGTCAAGTGCAGACCATCTCAGACACCTGCACTCAGGCCCGTGGTCCAATCATACTCTCTATGCAGACCTGCTGGGTAAAGCTACTGGGAACCTGAAAACGGGCTCCCACAGTCCAGTCTTCCTAAATGTCTTCAATCTGAAGTTTACTATTTTTTTTTTATTACTTTGCAAGGAAAAGTGACTCCTATCTCTTCAAATAAGGGTCTACAGAGTTTTTCACTCTTTTAACTTCATGGTTTATACTGGTTTTGTTGTATGTCCATGAGTGATTAATGACATAATTGAGTTTTCAAGTTCTCTGTTTGTTTTTGATGACAACTTTATTTACATGTCACTTACGAACTGTACAACTAATTCATTGATAGTATGCAAGTCAATAACTTTTAATATATTTACAAAGTTCACAATCATTAGCAAAAACATCATAGAACATCTTTATGAGTTCTTCACCCCCCAAAACCCCAAGGTCTTTTTTTCCTTTGACAATTATTTTTTAATTAAGATAGAATCTGCCCTATTATAGCGTATAACTTGAAGGTTGTTGGTATTTTCTAAGTACTTTGCAACAATCACTGATGTCTAATTACACAACATTTCCACCACTCCCTGAAGAAACCAAACACCTTCTAACAGTGGCAAAATTTCCAGTGA